AAACACACACATACACACACAAACACACACAGAGGTTATCGGAAATTGTTTGATATTTCAGGATGATGATGATGAAGATACTGATGATGATGATGATGATGATTTTTTTGTTGTTCCCTTAATGGGTCTGGTAGACTCCACACTTAAATCTTCGAGCGAGAGCGAGGCTCTTTTCCCGCACCATTGTCATTATACTCAGAGGCACTCCCACTCGTCCAAATAGCTCCATTTGAGTTGCCATTGTCCCTGGACATTCAAACATACGTTTGACATCCTCCTTTTCATGGTTGCATCTTCGGCAACGTGAGTTGAGCTCTTCGTTCCCAAAGTTCTGATACCATCTCAAAATCCAAAGATGATCCGACAGCAGTCTCGCTAGCTCAACCTGGTTCCAGCGACGTGTGATTAATAATTGTTCCACCTTATCAGAGTACCCAGAATATACATCATCCACGTGCTGGTACTCAGCTCTGCATGGTGTGTCTCTGATTCCCCTCTTAATAATTGGAAAGACTCACTTGTATGTTACTAGTCGTCTGTCTCTTTCTATCTCTCTGGCTTCATTGTCAGCTTGGTCTGCTGCCTCATTACCTTCGATTCCAACATGACTTTGAATCCACTGGATCTTTATTGAGGCTGTGTTTAACCGAACTTTCGGCGCAAATCATTTATATCTGAGCTGTTGCCTAGCAGTCCCTTGCAGAGGGACTGACTGTCAGTCAAGATCAGAACATTGGTTCATCTGTGACAATTGTCAACAATCCATTGTGCAGCAGACATCATTGCTGGCTTTCCTCGTTATAAGATGATGTGAGGAATGCACCTTTAGTTGTAATGATTTCTGTTCGTGGTGGTTCATCATTCATTATCAGTACTAATGCTGCCCCACCTTCGCGGTATTCTGCGACAGCCGATCCATCATGAAAATTATCAAATGGCACCAACCTCATTGATTACATCCTCTGCAGCTTCACGTACTTTTACAGGATAATCACCTTTGCTCTTTACTCCTCTCAGTTTTGTCTGGACTCCGATTTGGCCATGGGTCTCCCATAGACAAGCTCCCACCAGATTGATCGGCCCTCTATTCTCTGGGTGGAAGTGGTCTGCTAGGTCGGTGCCCACCCGAAACCAACTTTTCCTGCTGTTTTTAAGCTTGCCTGCTTGATCAAAGGCTTTCTTTCTAGGATGGCTGTCTGACTATCGCTTAGCCATCTCTTCAGACTTGAAGCAAGATGATGATGATGACCAACCCTATCCAAGTTTCAAGTACATTTATTTCTACTGTAAAACATGACGATGGGCAATAACTACAAAACTGTGAACATTTTTGCTGTATTTCTTTGGTTACCCTGGTTACGTCCCTTTATCGAAAAACTTTTTAAAAAGACCCCTTTGAATTTTCGAATTCATGCCTAGGAATTAACCGTTTTTGTACTATAACAAATCTAATTCAGTAGTTCAACCAGGACGTAATTGACCTGTTACGAACATTCAGGGTCTCTACCCTGGGGTCTATATGAGACACCGTGCCGTCATGCACGAAAGACACTTAAAAAAATTATTTTGAGAACAGGGGAAGATGGGAGGTTGTGGGGGGGGGGGGGTTTCCAGTAGACTTTTAATCACCAGATTCAACCGTTATTAACAGCAGCTCTAACCCTTATTATTTGTAAAGAAGAGCTTTACAAGCTAGACTTAACTAATATTACATCTGTTTTAAAAGGAAAAGAGGCATGAGGTGGATAACAAGCGGGACCTACTACAGGTTTAATTACCTGAAAAGACTTGATTGATGGTGGTTGCATCCGTCTCTGAAATGCCTAGATGGCTGTTGCTGAAGAGAACAAGGCCGGCCACAATACTGTAGTAAGTCAGCCTCTCGCACATCTCTGTGATGAGGATACATAGTGTCACCAGTATTTTCTTGCGGTTGCTGGGGAAAAAAGGCAGGGGAGGGGGGGGAGTTGGTATCAAAATGCTATAGTATTTCAGTTGGAGTAAAGACACAAATTTAACGTTTTAGATTACGGTCATATATTGCTGGGAAAGAGCAAGACAGGCGGAGAAAAACAATAAATAAAATGACAAGCAGCATTACCTTTGTTGGTACATTCCGGCCATACAAGCATAAAGTCGCGCAACAGGTTGCGTGTTCGATCAAAGATTCCAGCCAGTTTTTGTCGAACTTAATTAGTTTTTGGAGGAGGTTTAAATCATATCATAATATAATAATGGTTACGATTTATTATAAACAGTTCACCATCAAAACAAGAATGCACTGCGGTTATTCGCCTACCGATTATATATTACACTCTTTCCAGGGAAAATACGGCAACATGGTCATTTTAGTAATGAGAATGTGTCACAGACGCACAAATACAGAACATTTTTCAAAGTATCTCAATAAATATTGTCTAGTGCAGACCCCAGTTAACGAACCCAAAAGTTGATCCTAGATCAGCTGCGAAAAAGTATATGCACACACACAAACACACAGATACACACACACACACACACACACACACACACACACACACACACACACACACA